CTGATCGAGGTTTTTTCATGCTTGTACTCAGTCCTTAGAGGCAAATGCCAGGATAGTGTCTCAGATTTGGTCACGATCATTTCTTTCCAAAACTTTTCAAATTTATTATTCACCAATTAATTGATAAGAATACAACATCCATCAGTTTTGACGGACTTCTTATGAAATATTGTTAAATGTTTCGGTCCTACAGCACCACCGTTAGGGACTGATGTCTGAGGAAGGTCCTGAATTGTGAACTGCGGTTTCAGCTGTGTCCTGTATAGAACAGCTACTGTGCTTCTGTGTTAGTAATCTAACGCTGTCTGTTAAAATCAAACCTGCGAACTACGAGCTTCAACTGATGCGTTGAGGGTGGGCATGGGGGCTCTGATAAAATCCGTGTTCCCAATGAAAGTCTGTGAAGACAAGGCAATTAAAGGAAATGCAATGTGGTCGTTCGATTCTATGTGGTGTGTACAAACACGTGGTTATTTTTGTGTATTTACTCTTCATGGATGTGTCCGAAAGTGCTTTCTTCAGAAACGGAACGCTGCTGATAATCGTCATGAGTACCAACATCTGCGAACCAAGAAGAAAGTAATCTGGATTCACAGCAAACCCTAATATTTAAATAACTTCTTAGAAGACCCAGGGTTCCGTTTTGAAGTAAATGGGACTGAATGATATCGATTATAAGCAATCGAAATAGTTTGGCAACTCGAATTTTCCTTCTGTCAGAGATACAATTACGCGTAGCCGGAATCATGTTCTTATAGCAACAATTATAAACAGTGCTAACTTCTGGGATATGACTCCGTGTAGTCCTATAGTTCACCGACGTTTCGGAGGAACCTACTGCCTCCACCACCATTATTGTTTATGTGTAGGTGAAACATATAGCCAGCAAGAAACAGGCTTTGCTTCGCTTGACACCCTCTTCCTGCCGGCTAGTTGCATGACGTACTCTTCAATTCTGAAGATGGAAGCAAAGTATTCCTCTAAATCTTCAGTTAACTACCTGACTACACGGCGTCAAATCCCCAACTTAACTGCTGCCGTCTTCATATGGGCATTCCAACAAAGAAGTGGCCTCGGTTTGTCTAGGAATAACATCAGAGTAACAAACCACCTTTGTATTGTCACTCGTGAGTTTACGCTTTGAAGACAATGTTTTGTGGTAATGTCTCTTCAGCCCATTTCCTTCACACACAAGGAGACTACCAGTGTCCTGCAGGAGTTATCTCTCTCCTTCATCCATCAAGTTGACCCGGTAAAGCTCTTCGCGTGTAGTTGTGAGGCATTCAAATCAAATCTCCACTTGGACAATGGTTGTGCTCACTAAAGGGGATGGTATTTCTCTTCAGAACCTCCAGGAATGTACAGGGATACCACCTCAAATTAAGCCACGACTGCCATCGACCACATCTCCAGTTAATCGTTCGCGATGCACGCAATATCGTTTTTTGTTGAGGCACTATGCTACAAGCCGTTTCAATTCCCGATAAGGTTATTGGATTTTTCAACTGGCGTAACCCTTCCAGCCGCACTGTGGCCCTGGGGTCGACTGAGCCTCTAACAGAAATGAGTAAAGGAATCTTCCTGTGGAAGTAAAGGGCGGCTGGCGTGTAAGACTAGCAACCTCACCGCCATTTTTGAGCCGATTGATTTGGAAAATGTGGGACCCTCGACGTCTCACAACCCTATGGGCCTCCATGGTCTGTTACAGGGATAGCTTTACCTTTACCTTTAGGTAAAAATTCATTAATTTTATTATGAAAACCAGGCCATAATATGGACCAATACGGCTAAAAATCGGAATTATTCAACAGCTTTTAGTAAAAGTCTCCCGTATTCAATCTGAGTAGAATTTGTTAAACCACCTATGCGCTGATACGGCCAGTAGCACATTCTTCATTTGAACAAAACTCATATAACAAATGTGGTGCAAGGGTTCGCCTAGAATCGCGTTATCTATAATGAATAAAAAAAAAGAATTTAATATCACTGAAACTAAAGAATAAATTTGATTTGAAGCTGGAGTACTTTGCTGAATAGTGGGTTGCATACTCCGCCCTAAGCACCGAATGATTTTGCATGAGAAAGAAATATACACTAAAACAGAGCGCACAGCAGAACGGGTCCTGCTGAGTGATCTTCATTTAATTGACTGTGCTCTGATAAACACAGACGTCACTTTTGTACAATTCGAAGACCAATTAATAACCGGAATATTTATGTTAAAAATAATGCATATACTTATATAGGCTTATTATCACTAACCTTTAACGAAGGGCCGCGCCATAGCTCAAGCGGTTAGTCGCTGGCTTCCCACCGAGGCGGCCCAGGTTCGATCCGGAGTCTGGTAAAGTGGGATTTGTGGTGGACAAAGTGGCGCTGGGGCAGGTTTTCTCCGAGTACTTCGCTTTCCCCTGCCAATCTTCATTCCACCAATTGCTCCACAATCACCCTCACCTATCTTCTGGGGCTGGTACAGTAGGCCAGAAGTGGCCGCAGTACGAGGGACTTAGTCTCACCCCACTAGCATTAAAAAAACTATAACAAATGCTGTCAGAAACAAGGTATGTTTATTCGCTGATGTCATGTTTTTCGACGTATATGTCATTCTACGTTTACGCCCTCTCTTTCCTCGATCTATTTAACCCTTTAAAGGTTCGGCCACACAGAGCGCTACGTACGTGACGCACGCTACGTACACTATGTTCGCTATACGAACAAAAAAATATCTCCCTTTATTGCCAATGTGACAGGCCACACAGACTTCCGTACGCTACGTACGCTATGTTCCCTATGTTAGCTGCGTCGCAGAGTGTACGCAGCGTACGTAGCGAACATAGCGTATCGCTCTGTGTGGCCGAACCTTAAGACTGCCATCAGAGTCAGAGTTACTTTACGAATGGCGGCTTACCGTCAATCAGTTCGTCTTGGCGTTACCCCTTGAGACCCACGACCAGAAATGTTATTTTTCAACTAAACACTTGCGGTTATAGGCCTTATGTAATATCATTTCTGACGAAAGGATGGGTTTGTAGTATACAATTGCTGCTGGTCCTCGCCAGTGCAGTCATTCTCAAGTCCGAGTCTCGCGGGACTCGTGCCCATACTTTAGAGTCTCAAATTCGACACTCCCCCAACCTGGAAGGCTAGATCCCCGTGTTTATATCCCCTAAGAACAAAGTGGCCCAGTTATACCCCACAGGAAACACTTTACATCTCCGTTACAAAGCCCAGCCAGTTAATGCTCCATAGGGAAGGAGTCGCAGTTTTCTGTAAGAAACATACGGAACATACAGATACACTGCGGGCAGAATATATAGCAATCCAGGTCGTCCCCCACAAGGAAACACATTAAGTTTCCGTTACAAAGCCCAGCCAGTTAATGCTGTTTAGGGAAACAGTCGCTGTTTATTGTGAGAACCATACGGAACACACAGATTCACTGCATGGGCAGAATATATAGCAATCCAGTTCGTACCCCACAGGAAACACATTAAGTTTCCGTTACAAAGCCCAGCAAGTTAATGCTCTTTAGGGAAAGAGTCGCTGTTTTCTGTAAGAACCATAGGAGAGGCATCAACACACACAGTCGGCAGAATTTTAGAGCTTTTTTATGTTAAATAAGGTGGTACATATTATAATCACTGGATTTTAATGGGTTAAGTTGTTTAAATGGAGACCCTACGAAAGAAGTTATCAGTTTTAGAACACGAAAATGTCATACAGAAATAAGTCAGACGAGTATGGTGGAGGTTGCGGCAGTGGTAATATTTGCTTCTGACAAAACGTTTTTAGTGAAGGTTCATTATAAGAGGTGTACTGAGAGAATAGAATGCTCTAACGGAAACTCTCAAATAATACTCTGGTGGCGTTGGTTTCGAATCTTGGCCAGGGCAACCGCTGTCTAGGCTAAGACTTCCGTTGTTCTCCTCAGTCCCTCCAGTCAAATGATTGGCTATAACCACAATTATGACAAGACTGCTTCCTTTAAAATAATTCCTTACGAAATGTTACTTCCTTAACAAATAAAGCGTTGAGAAAATTATTTTTTGCTCAAAAACATATGATCCTCAGTCTCTATCCCTCTGTGTGGACTCAACTATAGAAACAGAGACCGGTACATGCATATTGAGGCAGCAAAATATTTGGTTATTTTTTTTAAACGGTAACTACTATTAGCTGTGCAATTATGTATATGAGCGTGTGTATGTATGTATTGTGACATGACGCCTGAAAGCCGGAATAGCGGAGCCAGATTCGGTAAACAGATTCCTGCGAAAATGAACAGGCAGGCCATGGAGGCCCATAGGGTTGGGAGACGTCGGGGCTCCCACATGTTCTAGACGGTTCATAGATGGCGGTGATGTTGTCAGATTTACGCGCCGGCCCTCCATTGCCCCCAGGAAAATTTCTGATACTCTTTTCTGCTAGAGGCATTATACATAAGGACGTATGTGTATGTGCATTATGTATGTACACTTTATGTGTACACATGTGCATATGCGCACATATATGTTTGTGTGTGTATATTTTACTAGGAACATATTTCGAACGTATCCTATATATATATATGTTTATTTTAAAGAAATATATAACACACCTGATGGCATAATATAACATTTTATTTCTTTCCCGTCCATTATCTCTAAAATAGCTAAACTATTACTCTACCAGTAAACATGAAAAAAGACGGTCATGCAATAATCATTTATAATACTGGCCTTAGTAAAAATAAATATTTGTCTTACTCTTTGCCTCATTCATGTTTATTTTACAACTTATTCTGTTATATTCACTTGGTTAGAACGCCAAAGAACCACAAATGGTTACTTTTACTTGTTGAAATACGATTGGTGGGGGAAGATTTAACTTTCACTGTTTTCCTCAAGCACCAAATAAATTCAGACCACAGAACGACACATATTCTGGGGTTAATCTCTCACTTTCATTGCTGGAATCCCTACTGGATCGTGCTGTATCTCTTTGATAATTTCGGAGCGCAGGATTTGGTTCACGGTGTGTCGAGCCGAGGAATCCAGACTGTTAACGAGCATCGCAGGCCTATGTTCACTGACCGCAGTCAGCTGAAGTACGCTCGCCGACTGGTCATCAAGTTGGGGAGCGCTGTCATCACTCGCGAGGACGAGCACGGCCTGGCCCTGGGAAGACTCGCATCCATTGTGGAACAGGTACGGTTTGTCATGTCCCGAGTTATTTACATGCCTCATGACCCTGAGCTAGTTGTTGCATGCAGTTCATGCATTTATATGCCTCACTGTTGCAACCGTGTTATCTATTTATGTACCTCATGGTTCGTTGTTGCAAGTATGTAAGCTATTACGTGCCCGATAATTCTGAGGTCACTGTTGCAAGAACATTATTTGTACACCTGACAACGCCGTTCTCATAGTTGTAAGCAACTGAGCTATTACCGTGTTCACAAAAGCCCTTCATCGGTTCCAATCCTGAGTCAGATCAATCCATTCCATCCAATCCCATCCTATCTCTCTAAGGTACATTTTCATATCGTCCACCAACCTACGTCTTGGTCTTCCCAGTGGTCTGCTTGCATCCTGCTTTTCCACCAATATCCCATAAGCATTTCGTTTCTCCCCATTCGTGCTACATGCCCTACCCATCTCATCCTCCTTGACTTAATCATTCTAATTATGTTTGGCAAAAGTACAAGCTATGAAGCTCCTAATTGTGCAGTTTTGTCCAACCTCCTGACACTTCATCCTTCTTCGGTCCAAATATTCTCCTCAACACCCTTTCCTCGAACACCCTCAGTCTATGTTCCTCCCTTAATGTCAGAGACCAAGATTCACACCCATACAGAACCACCGGCAAAATTATAGTTTTGTATATTCTACTACTACAAGGATATATTGTAGTATGCACAATATTTGCTGGCAGGTTGCCGAATGCCATCTGGAGGGTAGAGAATGTATCATGGTGACGAGCGGTGCCGTGGCATTTGGCAAGCAGAAGATGGCGCAGGAACTCCTCATGTCCCTCAGCATGAGAGAAACACTGTCGCCGAAGGATCATACCAGAGAGGTGAGGCCAAGACGCTGCGAAGCTAAATTCTCTGTCTCATGTGATAACGAAAATTCTCCCCCTTTTGAAGGACGCTTGGTGTCTCCTCTATCGAAGTCGATAATCACGCCAGGGACAACTTTGCTGCTGATGGATTTTCTACCGTAAATCATAACCTCATAAGCTGAAGTGCAAGGCAGAAATGAAAACCTGTCGGCAAAGCATTACCCGGTATGTCATAAAGCTCACCAAAAAAAAAAACTCCGTGGCCTGTAGGCCGTAAGTGAACTCTACCGACTGAGCGACCGCCGCTTGTCGGCGAAATTAGTGCAAAATTTAGCTGATAGAGGGTGTCGGGTGGTCAGCGCAACTGATCCCTACGACCGTTAATCTTCGGTTTTCTAGACCGGAGCCGTTATTTCCTTGAAATAGTTCAATTATCCTCACGAGGCTGGGTGGACCCCGTTCCAGTCCCACTACTTCTCAGAAAATCTGGTAGCGCCCAGACTCGAACCCGGGACCTCTGAATCTGTAGCCAGGAACTCTGACCACAGAGGCGGTCTAACTCATAAAGCTCACACTAATATTAAAGTGTGAGATCGGAACAGCTTCTAGCATGACCTTTAATGAATGTACCAAACTGTGAATATCCGAGTCCGTTCGCGGTTCAGGATTCGTGAAATGCGATTTAGACCGACTGAGCATTCAAATTAGCCGGTCCCGTGATGCGAAAGTTCAGATGTCGCGTAGAATTTATATGCACACGCTTGTAGTTCGTGTCAAAGTCCATATCCCTCTCTCATAATACAGTACCGCTGAGCAGGTTTACGTAGCGGTAACGTTGTAGGCTAGAGTTACGGAAGGACTCGATTCGAATCTCGGCTGGGATATCGGACATCCTCAATGAAATTTCTGATGGTTTTCCTCAGTCCCACTACGTAAATCCCACATTAGTATTTCCATTAGGTAACGATTGGTTCCAACCATCTTATAATTTATATATAATTCTATCACTCAATGCTATGAATTATCACATGTATTAATGACTATAGACAGGGCTCTAATTGGTAATTGGATTTATTGATCACTCACAAGTCGTAACCAGAACTAAGTATAACACTCTTGCCGATTCTCACACTACAAACCACTCCTCACTGGATCGTCTCAGTGTGTTTTTACTAGTCCTCACTATCCGTTTCCTGGCAATGGATTTATCACAGTCTCACTGTAACTACAGCACATGTACGAGTCGTACAGTCTTCAACATACACACTAAGTCTTCTTGGCACAGTCTAAATCCTTTTTTTCTTTCGTCTTCGACTGCCGACTACATGAATTCCGATCTACGACACACACACTATCACACTCACTCACACTCTCTCACACACACAATTACTCACTCACACACACACTCACACTCTCTCACACACACACACACGCTCACGCACTCTCACACGCTCTCTCTCTCTCTTTCTCTGACTCAGAACTTGACAACTCATTATGTGACATATTTCATCTTCTTCTGACTGGGCAAAGTCAAAGTCACATTGAGACTGACGGTCAGTCAGTCAATCAGTAAGTCTTGGTGTCGAGCTCCCTCCTGGGGCTTATGACCAGATATTTATTACTGTTTGATAGTTATGGTCTTGTTCTTCTGGGAGAAGAGGACAGGTCTGTCTTCTGTACATGCTGCTGGCCCTTGCCAGCGCAGTCTTTCTCGGGTCCGAGTCCCTTGGGACTCGCGATCATATTTTACTGTCTCATATTCGAGACTTCCCTTTTCGTCGCCTCCTACGACTCGCAGGGTCACGTTGGAGGTATTCGAACCCGCCTCCAAACGGGTCAAGTCTAACTCTAACTCTCAGTTACTGTTTGCTTTTCCTTATGTCCCCTCGGGTCTGGCCTCACAGAAAACACGTCCATTACCTAACAATAGATATCCTCTATTTTTGCGTATTCGTTGGAACGAGTTTACCTAGCAACGGGCTGTTTACCAAGAACATGTCTGTGCGGGAAGTTGTTTATTGAGCAGTTACCTAGCAATTGGTCTATACATCACAGCATTCTATTTACTGATATCACCGCAAATAACCCCTAAGGTAAAAGTAACAACAGAAGAGAGCTCTGCGCTCACGAAAAGGTCTTAACTCAAATGCCGGCATAAAAATATGTTCAAAAATATTTGCTGAAACATTTCTCTTATAACTGCAATCAGTGTGTTAACGTGTGAAATAAAGTCGTGAGGATTATACAAAGAGACATTGAAAAATTCGATAAGAATCAGATATGCTGGAGGCGTTTAACTGTTACACTATATGTCTCACAGCCACTCCGAAATGGAAAAAGTGGCATAAGTAATAAAACTTTACTAATCCTGACCTCCACTGAAATATCTTCATGTTTTCAGGATACTGGGAAATTACTTGACGCACGAGCCGCCGCTGCGGTTGGACAATCTGGCCTTATGTCCCTGTATGAAGCCATGTTTGCCCAGTACGGTATCAAGATTGCGCAGGTACCTTGCTATAACTTCATTTCATTCTATTCTCAACTTCCCTGGTCAATCATTAACTAACATCTCTATAGCACGCATACAATGTTTTTCATCAGCATGATTATCAACCGCAAAGATAATATTTCTGCTCCTCGGTTTTTTTATTGCTAGTGGGGTGGGACTAAGTGCCTTGTACTGCAGCCACTTCTGGCCAACTGTACCAGCTCCAGATGATAGGTGAGGGTGATTGTGGAGCAACTGGTGGAATGAAGATTGGCAGGGGAAACCGAAGTACTCGGAGAAAACCCGCCCCAGCGCCACTTTGTCCACCAAAAATCCCACTTGACCAGACCTGGGATCGAACCCGGATCGCCGCGATGGGAAGCCAGCGACTAACCGCTTGAGCTATGGGGCGGCCTTGCTCTTCGAGACAGACGAACTAATCTTTCCATTTCTTTGGTGGCCGACGTGCACAACTACTTCAAATTCCGCCAAAGGCATAGGAAGTTCTTACAAGTTTGGTAATCCCTTCTACCATGAATATAGAGGCAATAAGTTCCTTGGGTAGTTGGTAACCACCTACTAGACTAAACAGTAACATAATCACAGCTTGAACATTCACCACATTGCAAACCTCAACTGTTACAAAAGTCAGGTGATGTCGCCGAAATGTTCTCATGTGTCACGAGGAACACTGATGCAGTACACTTTAACTTTCTCATGACAGAAAACCATAGCATCTGAATATTTTGATGGGGTTTGTTTTTTCGATATTCTGACTGCATTAGAGTCAGATGTAAATCTCAGTCTCAATATGAAAATGACGATGAGACAAGAAAACCAACATAGCACAAACATACTCACATAATACAATGATCTACATGTCTGAATTTTAAAGCATTATTGGCTCTCAAAACTTATAGAACTTTATAATTCCAATTTTTAATATTTGTTTTTATGTATGTGAATTTCAAAGCTTCCCCTTCATATGTACATCCCCTGGGGATGGTCTCATGAGAGGGGAACATATCGGAGTATTAACAACTCGAGAAACAAAAGATATATACTGAGATGGTGATCAACATCTGAATTTAACACGCGAATATTTCTCTCTTTTTTTTTTGCATTTTTCTGTTTAACAAAGCCATAAACTTACTGACCACTGCCAGAGAGGTGGCCGACCTCGCTGGCAGAACGGGGCTGATAGCGAGCACCAGTACTGGAAGGGCATGGCGACTGGTAGAATAATTACAGGGGGACGCACAATAGATCAACAACTGGTTGCAGTGCATGGGGAAACCCACCCCCTCCAAAATAATAATTATTAATAATACTTATAAATGAAACAAATTAATGAACAGTACGCACCCCATGCATCTAGGCCTATGTATCTATGATCCAAATCACTTTATATAAATTCACTATACAGGATAAAAAAAAAACAAATCCCGTTGCCTGTAGTCCGCAAGCCAACTATACGGTGCGAACGACCGCCGCTTATCGGTGGTTAGCGCCAACTTTAGCGGATAGAGGGTGTCGCGTGGTCAGCGCAAGGAATCCCCATAGCAGTTAATCTCGGTTTTCTAGACCGGACTATACAGGATCAACAAGAGAAATTAGGCCTACATATTTTATTCACATGTTTTGACTTGATACTTTCCCTTAAACAAAAAACACTTAATTTTTTCACTCTATAACCACCAAGTGCCGATCATAAATAAGATCCAACATTTAAAACCCGTGGATGTGATATCACGCTGCTTACTCAGGGCTTAACACACAAAGTGGATGGTGCAGATCAGTATGACAGAAGGAAGATTAGAAACGGAACACGAACTCCGGTCAACTGGTCAACCACGAATCTCAGATGCTGTCTCCCCGGATTGAGACCAGGCCAAGGGTCAAAATCTAGGCACCTGAATCGTAGTAAAGACAGTAGCTTCTCATTATTAACTGCAACGTACCTTCTTAAGAATAAGTTCAGCAAGAAGCTGGATACAACAATATCCACTTCAGATTTTAAACACTTCTCCTTATTTCAAGTGATTTTCGTTTTGTTTCGTTCAATGATGTTATTTCACGCTTCTCGCATGTTATTTGCAGGTCCTGGTTACTAAGCCGGACTTCTACAACGAGGAGACGCGGAGTAACCTCTTCAGCACGTTGTCGGAACTCATTAGTCTCAACATCGTGCCTATTATCAACACAAACGACGCTGTCACGCCCCCACCACAGATAGACGAGGAGATCGTTAAAGGTTCAGTCAAGGTCAGAACACGACCTCTTTTCTTTTATTGCTAGTGGGGTGGGCATTCTGAGCTATCAATCCACAATAAACTTACGTTATACAAACAAATTCTACGTCCAGTTTGGAGCTATGGTATCCAGCTCTGGAGCTGCGCCAGTGAATCCAATATTCAAGTGATTCAACGCTATCAGAACAAAGTGTGCTGTCAACGCACCATAGTACGTTCGTAACAGCGACCTTCATCTGACCTTGGAATCGAGACGGTTACAGATATCATCGCTAAGGGTACCCATACACACACAGTTTGGCCTCCAGTTCGGTCTGCACAGTTGAAGACTGAAAGGCAAAACTGATGTGTGTGTGGTGCGGCCGGCCGGCCGGCCAATCGTTTAGACTGTTGGACTGTGGGAAACCCGTCAGTCCGTCAGTTCTACATGCAGGACCGAAGCACGTGACGTGTGTGACTCAGCATTATAGGCTGGAAGACCGTGATTGTGGCATGAAGCTGCCGGTTTATCTGCGCGTGTATGGGGAGGAAAGGGAGGGGGTAAACTGTCACAGTTTTGCCTGTAAGGTCGATCGGAAGGCCAAACTGTGTGTGTATGGGGGGCTTAAGTCCGCCACCTTTCATGAAAAGTGACTCGAAAACCATGTCAACATTGAAGCGTCCAAACTTCTCAACGTGAACAATATCATTAGACGACTCAAACGGAAGAAACAGTTCGAACTAGTTAAATGTTAAAGTACTAAGTAATTCAGTGGAAGTGACTTAGTTTTAATTTACGTAGTATATTTTTTCCTTGGCACTACAGCCCCAGTGGGCCTATGCCTACCTCCATGAACTTCTCCGTTCACTTCGGTTTTTCTAGATCTCACACATTCAGTAGGACTCCTTGGGCGGGTAATCAGCTCGTCAAAAGGCCTCTACCTGTAAACAAACACAGAAAAACGCACACACACAAACTAAACATCCATGCCCTGAGTGGGATTCGAACCCACAATCCCGGTTTCCAAGCGAGCGAAGACAGTGCATGCCTTAGAACGCTCGGCTACTGTGACCGACCACGTCGTCTATTAGGTTTAGAAAAAAAAATAATCGTTAGTTATCCAATTAGTTTTAATTGTAATTAAGCTCTGGGTTACCCAGTCGTTAATTAATAAATAAAAAAGTGGGGTGGGACTAAGTCCCTTGTACTACGGCCCCTTCTGGCCCTTGATGATAGGTGAGGGAGATTGTGGAGCAATTGGTGGAATGAAGATTGACAGGGGAAACCGAAGTACTCGGAGAAAACCTGCCCCAGCGCCACTTTGTCCACCACAAACCCCACTCGACCAGACCCGGGATCGAACCCGGGCCACTCCGGTGGGAAGCAAGCGACTAACCGCTTGAGCTATGGCGCATCCCACACGACCTCTTACATTTCAACACAGTGTAGTACCAAAATTGAGAAGAAATCTCTGAAGTGTTCTGTACTTCAGTTTGTAAGCAGCTATGAATGTTAACATTCTAATCTTTCAGAAATAATGCAGTGCAGTATTACGTCATCCTACAAAGACCTGGAAAGCCCCCACAAGAACTATCGTCCTGTAGACCCATTAGTCTGCTACCTGTCACCAGTAAAGTATTGGAAAGACTTTTTCTTCAAAGGATATACACAGACCATGAGCTACGAACAATACTTTCCAATCATCAGTTCGGATTTCACGAACAAAACTCTACAACCCATCAAGTTCACAGAATTGTAAATGAAATCTCCAAGAGTCTCGAGGAAAAGAAATTTTGTAATGCTGCATTTCTTGGTGTATCCGAAGTCTTTGACAAAATATGGCACCAAGGCTTACTCCTCAAATTAAAAAAACTCACTGTCTCAAAATTACTATCTCCTTCTAAAATCATACCTCTCCGACAGAAACTTCTCCGTCAAGTACTCAGACCAACAATCCAATCTGTATCCCATTAAATCCGGAGTTCCACAAGGCAGTGTCCTGGGGCCACTGCTATTTACGATCTACACAGCTGATACACCTGAAACCGAAAACACCAAGATAGCATCTTTCGCTAATGACGTGGCTCTCGTTGCTATTAGTGAAAACCCGCTAACAGCGTCTCAAAATCTACAAAATCACCTTAATTTACTCAGTGACTGGTACACCACTTGGCGAACAAAGGTTAATCAAACGAAGTCTGTCCAGATAACATTCACCACGAGACACGAAATGTGCCCACAAGAAACAATGAAAAACGCGCAAAAACCTACAGCCACAGAAACAAAGTATCTCGGCCTCCACCTCGATCAAAGGCTTACTTGGAAAAAACACATCCAAACTAAAACAAAACAACTTGACATGAAATATCGTCAAATGTATTGGCTTCTCAATAGAAAATCAAAGCTCTCTATGACTAACAAAATACAACTATACAAAGCTATATTGAAACCTATTTGGTCCTATGGTCTTCAACTCTGGGGATGTGCAAAGCCGTTGACAATCAGTCACATCCAGAGATTCCAATCAAAAACACTGAGGGCAATTGCAGACGCGCCACGGTATGTGAGCAACCTTACACTCCATAACGACCTAAAGATACCCTTCGTCAAAAATTAATTACTAAGAATGGCTGAAAGGTACAAAAACCAAACTGTAAATCATGACAACGATTTAATAGAAGAGCTATGCAGTAACGGTCCAGTGACAAGAAGACTGAACAGAACATGGCCCCAAGACACCATCAATCAATAAAATAGACTACATATAGGAGAAACATCACTGGATGTTTCCCTCGCAAGCCAAACACCTACAGCACATTTACTTAATACTCTGAAATGATGTAGATTGTAAGTAAGCATAATAAAGAAACCCTACAACGGTCACCCTTTTCTCTTCCTTTTTTCTCCCACATTCCTCTTCTTCTTCTTCTAAAATTTTCTTCGCAATTTGTATCTTCCTTCACTTTGTCTTTCAATTACTCATTTACTTATATTTTATATTAATAACTTATTCAAATTCTCCTACCTTCCTTCCTCTTGCATTCTTCTTCCTCCAGCGACAAAACAAGCAATTTAAAGGCCAATCATTCCCGTTGACTTATTTGCCTTTCCCGCCCCAAAATGTTATCCTCTCTACTAATTCCTCTGTTCTGAATCGTTCGCACTTAATTATTAAACTACTTGTCACATCGACTGCCTTGTGGTCTGGTAGTCAGAGTTCCTGACTAGAGTTCCAGAGGTCCCGGGTTCGATTCCCGGCGCTACAAGGTTTTCTGAGAAGTAGTGGGTCTGGAACGGGGTCCACTCAGTCTCGTGAGGATAGTTGAGGAGCTATTTCAAGGAAATAGCGGTTCCGGTCTAGAAAACCAAAATTAACTGCCTTGGGGATTCGTTGCGCTGACCACGCAACACCCTCTATCCGCTAAAGTTGGCATTAACTTCGCCGACAAGCGGCGGTCGCTCGGTCGGTATAGTTCGTTTGCGAACTACAGGCCACGGAGTCTGTTAATCTTGTCACATCTCACAAGACAGTGACCTGAATAATCACTGCCGTGAGAACCTCAAATTCCTGTTTAAACTTGTTTAAATTTGCGTATATTGTATCATAATGAAACGTGGGGCTGTCCCGTCCACATCTCCAGCAGAAAATTAAAATTATAAACTCAGAATTATCTTTATTTCTGTTCAATTTTTTGCATCAAGAGTTCAACTAAACCGATGAGTAACGAATGAATGTTTATATGCCACAACAGGTGCTACCTCCCTGATTTACCTTCCTACGCTACTGCCAATCTAATATAATGGAACAGACACTTCGTCTACTGGCAGGTATGGCCACAAAGCCAGGGACCCCTTGTATTTGTAATATGTAGTTATTTCTGGCCCCAGTATTGCTCCTGGTGCACAACAGGGACGGAAATATGACTACTCTGTTACTAAGATTGAGGGAAAGCCGTGCCACAGCTCAGGCAGTTAGTCGCCGGCTTCCCACAGCGGCGGCCCTGGTTCGAACCTAGGTCAGGTCATGTGGGATTTCTGGTTGACAAACTGGCACTGGGTCAAGTTTTCTCCGAGTACTTCAGTTTCATTGAGAATTCTCATTCCACCAACTGCTCCACATTCATCATCATCATCATCATCTGTTATCCAGGGATAGTACAGTAGGAAAATTAGTGGCCGACGTACCAAGTGGACTCAAGTCTCATCCCAAGAAACTAAAGAGAAAGTGTAAGATTTAAGGTTTTCACAGCGGTGACTGTGACGAATATCATCTTCTGGGTTGTGGTGCCATGTAGATCTTGTGTAAACCGACGTTTCGGAGGAACTTATCACCTCCATCTTCTACCTTGAAGAAGGAGGCGATACCCTCCTCCGAAACGTCGGTTCACACAAGATTTACAAAGCGCCACAGCACAGAAGACGGCACACTTCAAGTGAAAAAGATATTACGAAAGCTCTCGTATTTGAAGCTAAGACACAGAAATTGAAAGAGGAAATACAGAAAATGTCAAATAATTTTTGGGTAATCCAAAAATGGGAATTGGATGGATGAGACACGTAGATAAGAAATGCGAACGAAGTATCAGTGGGTAAATTTGACCGGATTGCACCACTTGAGTGGTCTACGTGTAAATGAGAGAATAATGTCAAATTGATCTGCAAGAAATTGAGTGTATGTCAACTGGGTTTTAATATCTTAGGACAGCAATAGCGGTCGCTTGTAAAGGTGGCAATGAACTTCAAACTACCAAAAATGTATGGGTAATTTAGGCACCTCAAACACTATCAACCTGTCAAGGATTCCTATTCCATTTTGTTTCCTTTTCCAAATTTCCCTTCAGTCTTCTCAGCCACAACTGTCATTCTGGGAAAAAACCGTGTAATAACCTCAAGAAATTCATTTCCTTTCGTAAGAATGGATACCTTGTGGTAATTATAGGCCTTCATGTAGATGAAACATCTCCGTATTTCCTGAAAAGACGTAATTACGCTGTTTCCAGAATTATACGGCATAAACATCACTTCCGTTGTACTTTTCACAATCGTGTGGGAAACCTCAGCCTAGACCAGGGGTCGGCAAAATTTTGGAACTGGTGGGCCGCATTCGACTAAACCTTCGTAACTCCTATAGGAAATAAGGCAGAAATATGAAACAGCTCATAGGCGTAATTGATATATTCCATTTGAACCCACTGCGGTTTTATTTGGAAGGATAATGATGATAAGAGTAATATTATTTTACACTATTCTGTTCTTCTAATTTCGTGTACTGTCCTCGTGATAAGGACAAGAAAGCTGTCGGTTGTATAACCCTGGCCCAAATTATTCAGTTATGCTGCTGTGTCCATAACAAGAAGGGAGCTCTCAGCCTAGAAAATTCTGTCGTGATGTTAGCAGAACCACATGAGTCTATCTTCCTAGACAATTTATCTGCGCTGACATTTCCAGAATCTCGTGAAGTATCCGTCTAAACATTTCATTTGTTCTGATATTTTGAGAAACTCATGGGCCTATCAGCCTGCTGTTCTTTTCAGAATCACATTGGTCTATCATTTGTACACAATTTATTTTGGCTGACATTTTCAGAATAGCGGAAATATCATTGTAGACATTTCCTTTGCTATGATATTTTCAGAATCGAATGGGAGCAATCAGCATCAAGGACAACGACAGTCTGGCTGCAATGCTGGCTGCAGAAGTACAGGCGGACTTGCTAGTCCTCATGTCTGACGTAGACGGAATATACACGAAGCCCCCTTCGCAGGAGGGCGCACGGCTACTCTGCACATACACCCCAGACATGAAGGATCTCGTCAAGTTCGGCAAGAAGTCGCGAGTCGGTACCGGAGGGATGGATTCCAAGGTACACAACTTGATACTACACCCTTCCACACGACGGAACTCAAATTGTCCGTGCAAGAAACAGTCCGTTGCAGTTATCAGCCTTGCTATGTTATGTTACCGTGAAGTCGGTCCATGCGCCTGCTCGCCTTAATATCCTGAGAACGAACAGGCGGATTTTCACGCAACTCGGTAAACATGTTTAGCTACTGTTATTCGACAAATAGCACAGATTCGCCGTCTTAAGTGCAACACGTCCTGCAAAAACTTATTTAATATTCCTTATATCACATAATGGACCGCGGTAGAGTAGTTGGTTGAGGGGCTATGCTACAAGCCGGAAGGTCGCGGGTTCACGTCCCGATGAGGTCATTGGACTTTTTTTCAATTGACCTAATCCTTCCAGCCGCACTATGGTCCTGGGGTCGACTCAGCCTCTAACAGAAATGAGTACCAGGAATTAATTAAATAATTTTCCTGGGGAGTAAAGCTCAGCCGGCGCATAAGGCTGACTACCTTACCCCCATCTTTGAGCCGATTGTCTAGATAATGTGGGACCCACAACGTCTCACAATCTTATGGGCCTTTACTGCCTGGTACAGGGATAACTTTACTTTTTTTTTACATAATGGACCGCCCCTGTAGTCTAGTGATCAGACTTCCTGGCTAGAGATCCAGAGGTTCCGGGTTCGATTTCCGGCACTACCAGATTTTCTGAGAAGTAGTTGGTCTGGAATGGGGTACACTCAGCCTCGCGAGGATAATTGAGGAGCTGTTTCAAGGAAATAGCGGCTCCGGTCTTCCTATGTATTCGTTGCCACTGAAGTATGTGTTTTTTATTATAGCCGTTACGTAGCAATTGACGTCACATAATTAGGCTTTTAGGCGCCACGCCATAATGTCCAATCAGTGCAATTAATATCCATGAAGGTTTAGAGAAGGCGCCATCTCTGGGTTGTATTTTTAAGAACTCTCGGTGCCTTCGATATAGGTCTGTCTGTGTCCGCACACCCATGTCCGTAAATTCAGTACATTTCATGCATATACATGAGACGTAAGCGTGTTGTGGTGAGGCCACAGTCATGGATTAGAAGCCAGTGGATCCACCCCGCATAGGGTAGGTCATGTCCGCTTAGGGTGAATTACGAACGGTGTATGGACCCGCATGCTCCACCCATCATATTACAATGCATTAATAGCAATAATAATCCAGTAAACACTTGCTAATCCCGTTACAGTTAATCCGAGTGTCGGATATTCCGGATCGAAATATGGAGAAGGAAAACTGCCGTTCGTAGCTGAGTACATACTTTAAGACACGTGGCAATTAGGAAGCAGATGAGTCACTTTTCTGTTCAGACAAAACTTGACAGCATCTTCAAACCTACATTATTACGTTCGAAAATAAGTACAACATCTGAGTCTTCTATCGATAAATAAATATATTATATTTATATTTTCAAACAAAGGCATTAAAGTGATTTTTTATTAATTTTCATCAGCACTACTAATATCATTAAATTCTCTGTTTGTGTTCTCCATATTCTGGAGTTGCTGGTTTCAAATCTCGGTCAGGGGTTAGCGTATCCGGATTGGGGTTATAGTGGTTTTCCTCAATCCCTCTTAGATAAATACTGGGATTATTCTTAAATTATTTAATGATTGCTTCTTATCACATTCTTCTCATTTCGTTAGTCAACTATAACCTATCATTCTAGGTCCTATGATCAGAGCATTGAAATCGTCATTAACCAAACCAAAAACATTGCAATCAAATTTTTGTTTATTTTAGTGATGATCTAATAGCCCTAGTTAGTTAGTTAGTTATTGGAGAGGGTGGGTTTCTCCATGCACTTAGACCTGTAATGGTCCATTGTGCTTCCCTCTACGATTTATACCAGTCTCTATATCCTATCGGTACTGGTGCTTACCATCAGTCCCGCCCAGCCAGCGAGACCGGCTCTACTAGCTGAGAGGTATCTATAATGCTTCCCTCATCTACCAGAGGTATTAGAGACTGCTGTTGGGCGGGAAACGTCCGTAATTTTGCTCAGTGACCTCCTTTGGAGAAATGAGGTTCTTTTACGTGCCGTAAAGCTACGACAAGGGACCCACGGCTTAAAGTCCCTCCCGGAGGACTTGTTCCCTGAATTTTTCCGCCCTTAAAAATTCGACGACCTCCGCCGGGTATTTGAACCTGCGTACTACGAGTCATGAGGTGGGAACGTTACCCCTATACTACGGAGGCCGCTATCTAATAGCCCTAAGACCAATTATAAAATAAGCATGAGTAAAGAAGAGATAAACAAAAATGCACGCAGGAGATAAATCAAGATACTTTATGTAATTTAAATAATAATAATTCCATTAACACAAATAAATTTAGCCTAAAAATGTAGGAAAAGTATTTATTTTTACCGAATACAATTAACATTTTTATGAATAGTGAAGTAGAATGTCTAATTTAAAACATGAATACATTAATATTTTTTGTCTCGGCCTACTCGAAGTGCTATCCCGACATTTGCCTGCATGGACTGAAGAATATTCCGAGAAGTCTTTCCTGATAGACAATGTCCCTGCTGAATTTCGAACCGAACACCTCCCGAATATAATTCTAAAGTTTACTGCTACACCAGTCTGTCCGGTAGGCAGTCGTGCTGAAATAAAAATTGGAGGAAAAAACTCGAGGATGTAAGTTGGATTCTGCTCAGGAGAATAACGTTTATGACGGCGTGACTAATAATAACGGGTTTTGGATTGGATGATTGGATTTACTGACACCTTCTCCAACAATTACTTGTAATCGCAATCAATTATAATAAATCAAAATAAGTTGCTGCATAAGACTCACTCCATTTTGACTGCCTTACGACTGTCAGCTGACAGCTGAGTCAACTACTCCGTTATACTCCCTCATAGCTCCTGATTGTGCGCTCTTATAATTCCTCGACACGGATTCCACGGAAAACACCGTCTTCTGTTGTCAAGAATGCATATTTATTTGTTCGTTACCTAGCAATGGATGTCTTTCTATTTCTGAGAGCGTAACATCGGGAGTGTGTTTACCGAGCTATTGTCTAGCAATGGAATATGCGTCACGCTATTTTAAACATGTTACGGACTGTCCAGTTCCCCTAAAGAAATTAGAATTTGTGAGTCTGGAACTATTACCGTGAGTTCGCTCGCATTTCTCAGGCATCTCGGGAGCCGTAAACCTCGCGGGAAAATGCAAGGAATATAAAAGCGTGTTTTATTTCTTTCTGCACCGCTTGTTCCTGACATCTATGTGTCAGAGAAGTATTTAACGAGTTACACTTCGAGATATTTTCAAAAATGCGTAGGTGTTAAAAAAGTTTCTGTTATTTTATTCCCATTTGAACGAAAATTTAGATTTCGATGGAGTTTAATTACGAATGTTTCTGACTTCAGGACTTCACGCTCTCTAAATCTGTAGATAGGTATTAACGTTTCGGAGGAACTTAACTGCTATCATATTCTACCTGAAAATAGGGGGAGCAGGTTTCTCCGAAACGTTGGTAACTATCTACCATATTACACAATATTATATCGTACAAGAAAGTAATCTACATTGTCCTGCGGTGAGAACCTCAAATCAGACAAATTCTAATGAACTGCCATTGTCAAATTTCATGAAAATCCTTTCAGAAGCGCTTGCCGAGAGACAAGTGAAAAGACGGAGCGAGACGTGAATTTAATAAATTATTTTTTATAACTATTAGTTGCGAACACACCAAAAATAGAGGCTTTCTTGATGGATTCAAAATTCCCAATAAGACCCTCACCATATTATCAAGTATTTCTTTTAATGCTAGTGATGTGGGACTAAGTCCCTTGTACTGCGGCCACTTCTGGCCGTGTGTGAGATTGTGGAGCAATTGGTGGAATGAAAATTGTCAGGGGAAACCGAAGTACTCGGAGAAAACCTGGCCTCAGCGCCACTTTCTCCACCGAAAATCCCACTTGACCAGACCCGGTATCGAACCCGGGCCACCGCGGTGGGAAGCCAGCGACTAACCTCTTAAGCTATGGTGCGGCCATGTTATCAAGTAAGTAAATAAGTAGTTTTATTTAATGATCTAAAAGATGTTTCTGTACACAAGCAATTCTCCATAACAACGCTACCTCTTCAGATATGATGACGTTCTTTCCCGCACTTGTTTCTGAAGGTAAAGTCAGCAGCGTGGGCCCTGGATCGAGGAGTGTGTGTGGTGATCTGCAATGGTATGCAGGACAACGCAATAAAGACCATTCTACGTGGAAGGCGAATAGGCACCTTCTTCACCGGAAGTGGCAGCGGTGGGGAGCACGCTACTACAGACGTCCTTGCTGAGAACGGTAAGGTACAGGAGGAACACGTGGTGTTCTGCATTCCTTCGAAAGCGTGTATAATGTGATCTCAGTTTCATGGGCATGAACTGAACGCGATATAAAGAGAGACGTATAAAATGGAATTGGAATTATAAGAACTTATATATGAAATTCATGGAATAGCTCAAGTGCCAACGGCATATATGATGGTATATAAGAAAGGCATTCTATAATTAGCTTTTTCCATGCTGATTTTCTTTATCATCTTCTCCAAGGTTCAGACGTTTCGTCCCGTTCCATCCAATGGATTGCGTTCCTCTGCACTTATAGTCCATTAAGTGTTTTTGGATACATTCGATCTTTCGAACATGATGAATTCAAATGAGTGTAGTATTCTTAATCATATTATTCAAAACTAATATATTTAACTAATCTCTAATCATTGTTTCTAACCTGATCTTGTAACTGACTTCATGGAGCTGAATCCTTCTTGAGAAGCTGCCAATTGTGCAGCCACTCAAGAACTTCCCAGTATTTTATGGAACACGAAGGTTCATTACCGTAAGATTTGAGGCTTTCACGGCGGTGACTATGAAGAAAGCAGTCTGCTGGGATTTGGCACCGTGTATATGTGGTGTTAACCGACGTTTCGGAGGAACGTATCGCCCCCATCTTCAGGGTAGAAGAAAAAGTATAAGAAATCTGCAAGCGACAACACCGTGAGAAACGGTAAAGCAGACCAGTCTGCACTGTTAGTGCCCAATAACCGGTGGGCTAATAGTACCCTTCTTGCTTACTTCATGAAGATAAAACAGGAATTTAAGGCAAGTAAACAGCAGGGGATACTTGGATTATGAAATGTAACAAAGTTGGTAGAGAAATTACTACTTTTATACTCGTAGGTCAGTATTTGAAGTAAACTAAAATAACTACATGACTTTGGGAAAATTAAGTTTCTTCTAGATTTTCTAGAGTCTGTGACGGCAGTTTTCAAATTCAGTTGGTATGAATGAATGAATGTATAAGGGGTTGGCTTTCTTGGCCCTTGTACCGCGATCACGGTGATCTATTATGCCTCCCCTTCTGATTATCCCCTCAACAATCCTGCGCTTCGAATGAAGTGTAGGATTTTGTACGTGGAGACGTCCAAATAGTCACTTGGTTCCATAAAATATTGACCCAAGTGACGCAATCTTAAACAAGCTAAGGCCTCACATTAGCACAGGATAAGTGTGGCTGTTTCATTTTCTTCTTGACACCTCTCACGAATTGAACTATTACTTAGTCCCAGTTTGGGCCGTGCCATAGCTCAAGCGGTTAGTCGCTGGTTTCCCACCGAGGCGGCCCGGGTCCGATCTCGGGTCTGGTCAAGTGGGATTTGTGGTGGACAAAGTGGCGCTGGGGCAGGTTTTCTTCGAGTATTTCGGTTTCCCCTGACAATTTGCATTCCACCAGTTGCTCCACAGTAACCCTCACCTATCATCTGGGGCTCGTACAATAGGCCTGAAGTGGCCGCAGTACAAGGGACTTAGTCCCACCCCACTATCTATAAAAAAAATTGTCCCACTTTAATTCAGTTGGTAAATCTGTGACAAGACACGACGTCGTAACTTCACGATTAATGTATTGTTAATGCAGGTAAAAATATTTAATTAAATATTTATAGAAAAATTATTTTTTACAAGGTGCTACTGCAGACACTAATTAAACGTCAGGTTGCGAGATTTTCTTCGAGTGAATGCAAAATAAATGTCATGTGACTTTTACTTCGAACATTGAACGAGAGCATGTCTCTCTTGATCAGTGGAGAATTTCTAACTACACGGATGAAAGCCCTTGCATTTTGTCAATTCATTTTCATTACGGCGTACGGGGATCTGATGCTGTGCAACATACTAACACGATATTTATTAACTCACATTATTCATGATTAAAATTTTATGTCCCTTTCATTTTTCTCCAGTATAAATCAGGCTGACTGCTCATACATTTCACACAGTCTAACCTCCTTCCTGAGGAAGGCTGTACAACCCCGCTAATACATAAAATATGACTCCGAAACTCTGCTTTGAATATAAACAAACCTGACAGCAGAAATCATCAAGTCCTACAGCAAAAGAAGTTATGTATATCGGGGTCTACATATTGTAGTATTACGTAGGATTTGAGGTTCTCACAGCAGTGTTTACAAAAATTCTGTCTTCTAGAATGTAACGTTATGTAGTCCGTTTAAATCAAACAGACGGTTCTGAGGAGAATGTTGGCTCCTTCTTCAGGGTTGGAGAGTAAACCAAGCAAGAAACCAGCATGAAGCAGGTGTCAATAAAATATTTTCTTGCTTCCTTCTTCATGCTGGTTGACTTTCAAAGGATTAAAATATGTTTCACCCCAACACGACAATTGAAATATATTAATTAGACTTATGCCCGAATAACAGGCTACCAATGCGATATCAGCTAAATACTCCACATAATTCGCTTAGTGGGGGGTGGGGTCCAATTGGTTCCACTCGGCACGGCGGCCACTGATTGGCCTATTGTAGTCTGCCCCGGGCGATTATGATGCTGGAGAAATTTGTGGAATGAATATTGGCAGGGGAAACCAAAGTACTCGGAGAAAACCCGCCCCAGCGCCACTTTGTCCACCACAAATCCCACTTGAGCAGACCCGGGATCGAACCCGGGCCGCCGCGGTGGAAAACCAGCGACTAACAGCTTGAGCTATGGCGCTGTCAATACTACCCATAACTCACATGACTAATTCAGGTTTTGGTAATTATTATAATTATCATTTTTATATGTCCATAGCCAGGATTGGTAGTCGGACTCTACTGGGGCTGGCCCCAGAAGAAAGGGCTACGTGTATCTACACTCTAGCGGATCTGTTACTTAGCAAAGAGAAGGAAATCTTGGAAGCGAACGAAAAGGACCTAGCAGAGGCTACGAAGGGAGGACTGAGCAAGCCACTTCTGTCCAGACTGTCCCTTACGTCCCCCAAGCTGAGGAGCCTGACTACAGGTAATGTATAGCATTGTGATGACGCTCTGGCCCGCAAAGCCACTGCCCACAGTACCATGGAGCAGAGCTGGCTGGCGTAATGTAACGCACTTGTATTCGGGAGGTACTCTGTTCAGACCTGAGCCAGAACCTCGCCTATCCCGACTCAGGTTTATCGTGGTTTTCCTACGTTTCCACAGGCAAATTTCAGTATAGTACCTTGATTAACCCACAACTATTTCCTTCCAAATATTTTCTTGAAGAATGCAGTCTTTTGGTATATGACGCCGTGTGGATATTGTGTAAACCGACGTTTCGGAGGAACGTATCGCCTCCACCTTCGGGGTATAAAAATCCGCAAGCGAGGAACAAGCGTGAGCAAGTGGCTGCAGACGTTCCTCCAAAACGTCGGTTTACACAATATCCACACGGCGTCATATACCAGAAGACTGCATTCTTCATAGCCACCGCCGTGAAACCCGCAAATATTACAAATCCTTTCTTATTCATCAATCAGCATACCATTCGAGATTATATAGTCCAAACAGCGTCGTTAAATTAACCGTACGCGTAAGACGAAGGCCTTGGGGGGGAGGAAATGGGAGAGAGTAGAAACCGAGACCCTTATTTTCACTAATGGAACACAAAAATTAGAATGTCTATTCCTTCACTGTACACAAAGAATATGTGCGCCTCATGTGTACTGTACACAGAGGCCTGCTATATATAGAGTCGGGGGAGAAAAGGCAGAACAGCCATAATCTGGATATTAGACAAGAAGTTCAGGTTAAGAAATAATGGCCATAATTATTTTAGAGCTGTACAGTGAAATAGCTCTATTTCGGAAACGGTTCGGAAAAGGACACATGTACTTATACAACTCTTTGCTTAGAATTTTCGATACTGTGACCTCCCGGAATATTGACCTTCCCTCCTGGGGCATCCGCAGTGATGTAGAATAAAAAAAGAAAATACAAAATATTACATCCCAGAAGAGAATATTCTTTACACTCGCAGGGCTGAAAATCCTAGAGCTCAGGTTCAGGATAGGTTTAAATGGTGAGCTTGTGTGAAGACTGTGATGAACCACTGGCTTCCATACACGCAGGAAATTCCTTAGTGAGAAGAGACTCCCTGTATATTCAAGACGGATACAACTCCGTGATTTTAGTCCGCAAGCGAACCACACCGCCCGAGCGATCGCCGTTTGTCGGCAAAACAGAGGCATAAATACAGGAACATATATATTTCAGAGATAAAGGCAAAGTGATAAAAGAGTTACAGAATTACTGGGTTTTTGGACTTTTTACATCATCTGGAATTCTAGGTAATAGAGGACACGACGTTTCGCAAAATTGGATCTGTTTCCGTCTTCAAGTGAGAAAGGAAGACACCTACTCAGCTGGGCCCCTTAGAGAGAGCTAATTCCGGACGATGGAAAAGTCCAAAAACCCAGTAATTCTGTGTGTCATATACCACGGTCAGAACCCTTTTACAGTCTACCTGATAAAAGACTTGTTCATATGCTGTGTCCCTCCGCAGGCCTGCGTCAGATCGCGGAAAACAGCCACAATAACGTGAACAGAGTTCTGCGCAGGACCAGGCTGGCACCGGGTTTGGATCTCACACAAGTCACCGTGCCTATAGGAGTGCTATTGGTTATATTCGAATCCCGGCCAGACTGCCTTCCTCAGGTATGAGAGCTGCGCTTACAGTACAGAAGTCTCGCGATTATGTACACTCACTGTTCGGCTTAACCCCACACTCATCTGTCTACGAAACTAATGAAGTTAATATTGATGTTTGTTTTCATACGGCACTTACTGTGTTCTGTGAGCCGCTCCATAACTCAAGCGGTTAGTCGCTGGCTTCCCACCGCGGCGGCCCGGGTTCGATCCCCGGGTCTGGTCAAGTGAGATTTGTGGTGGATAAAGTGGCGCTGGGGCAGGTTTTCTCCGAGTACTTCGGTTTCCCCTGCTAATCTTCATTCCACTATCACCCTCACCTATCATCCGGGGCTGGTACAATAGTCCAGAAGTGGCCACAGTACAAGGGACTTAGTCCCACCCCACTAGCAATAAAAAAATACTATGTTCTGCGATATGACGCCGTATAGTGTGGTATATATTTACCGACGTTTTAGAGGAACATACAGAATTTAGGTTCAACTTCAAAGAGTTGGCCGTGAAAGGAACCAGGCGAAATCTAGCAGCGCGTAGATATTTGTCATGAGTAAACTTCTACCAGACTACACGGCATCAGCAGGTTTGTCTCTGTTACTGGTGCTTCACTTGACTTACTCTTCAGCACTGAAGATGTAGGCACCGACACCGCTTCCGGCAAGGAATTAACTGTTTTTGCTACGGCCTCAACAATTCAATTTGAATGTTACTGCCCTAGAAATCAATGTCAAGTGTTCCAGCTATCTTCTAGAATAATTATTCCAGTCTCTGCTTTCACTGTTTCCACACCCTCACTCTCCCTCCCTCTCATTAAATTCTTCCTCTCTTTGCTTGTCTTACTCTCAAATCTCCTCTCTTTCTCTCTTCCATGTCTTTCTTTTGGCTGTCATACTGTTGACATTTCCATATGCAATCGTGACTACAAGTAATTATATCTGTTTCACTAATTCACACACTTTACAGTTCACTAGAACACACACATTAAGTGTTCTCAGTGTGCCGTGTCCTCACGGCTTCAAACGGAGGACGTTTCTCTTTGGGTTCCTGAGCTATCCCCGGCCTCTACTACCAGCTTCTAAGAGCAACAGCTCACAGCGACTGAGCCTCAGCTGTTCTCTGACTAACTCACCAACAATCTCAACTCAACTCAACTTTCATTAACTGTCCTGCTTAAAATATCTTGGCACGGACCGCACAGAAAGCACCATTCCGTTATTTCTCTGCTATTATTGCCACGGACGCATGCCTGTCTCCGAAGCCTTTACTTAGCAACGGCTATTGTACACCTGCTACTTTCGCGGTGGTTGCCTATCGACTTTTCTACATGCCACAATATTAACAATCAGTATTGTTCAGTAAGTATTTTCGACGTTTCCGCAGCTGTTATTTTTCACATGTCGGTATTTTTGATCGCGATACAATCCAGTCTTGTAGGTGGGCACCAACTTTTCGGAGAAACATGCTACCTCCATCTTCAGTATCAGGCCGGACTGACCCTAATTCCTAACCTCGTCGCGCTGGTATGAAGGATAAATTTCCCTACAACATATCCGGACGCCGGTCACGGTAGCCCAGCGGTCTAGGGCATGAACTGTTTTCGCTCACATGGAAGCCGAGATCGTGGGTTTGAATCCCACATAAGATATGGATGTTTTGTGTGTATGCGTTTATTCTGTGTTTGTGTTGCCCTGTGTTTAGGTAGAAGTCTTACGACGGGCTGATCACCCGTCCAAGGAGTCCTCCCGTCTGTAAAATGATCAATGAAACTGGAAAATCAGCCCTCTGCTCTAAAGTGGGAGCGAAGAGGAAGAAAAAAATAAACCAGTCCGCATAATCGAACGAATTCCTCACGAGAGACAACTCAATCATGAATATGAGGTCAGCATATTCCTCCGAAACGTCACAATCCAGCTATAAATTCACATCGTATCACAGCACAAAAGACCAAAATTATCAGTCTTGGTTCGTACTTGGAGGGTCTCAGGTTCGAATCACACCCAAGAGACCAGCTCTTACGACAGGCATTCCGTAGTTCTCCTCAGTCCATAGAAAGATATGTTGGATAGTATCTTCAAGGAGCAATCATCTCTTCTCTTGTTGTCTTCAGCTTCGACGTTTGCCATTCGGCGTGCCCGTTACTGCCTCAGATGTGAACCTCACCGCAGTGCCTCTGTGTGCCTCAGGTTGCCGCACTCGCCATTAGTTCCGCTAACGGTTTGCTGCTGAAGGGAGGCAGCGAGGCAGCTCACAGCAACAGGGCGCTCATGGACCTCGTGAGGCAGGCGTTGGAAGAAGTGGGCGCCAACAACGCCATCTCACTGGTAAGTGACTGCAGACCGAACCGTCACGCCAAACGCTTCATTACACTTGGGTCTCGTGCTGTGTTTACTAACATAGTCCTACATTTTCATGTTTTGTCGTTTTAGCCATGGCCGAATTTACGAGGTAGCAAGAGGGACAGTCACTCCCGGACCTTCACAAAACAGAAATAGAACCCACAGATTTGACTGAGACATTCGCTTCTCTAAAATCACGAAAAAAGGGTTTCTATTTTCTGCTATTATAAGGTAAAAAAGGTAAAGTTTGCCCTGTGCTTTACTTATTAAGCGCTACACCATGAAGGGGTATGGGGGAGTGGGTGTATAGACCCACCTTGACCTCCGCACTAGTTGGAGGTGAGTGATCAACTTCACGCCCTGGCCGCTTTACCGCCGGGGAAAGAGCCCTCGGTTCTCATTGAATGGGAGGTTGGGTGAACCTCAGAGACGGTCTGGACGATTTGGATGGAAATCCGATCTCTCGGTCGTTCAGCCCGTAGCCAGTCGCTGTACCGACTGCGCTACCCCGGGTCCTAAGAAATAAGAAAGTAGAAATATCACAACCTAAATTTTCTGATGCTGATAGGAACCTCCACAATTTTAATATCCCGGGGCCTCCACAGCTCTAAACCCGGCCCTGATTTTAAAAAACTGCGTAATGAGACAAGTGGCGGGCTCTAGTGAACACGCTAAAGAACCTTTGGGTTCCATAAAATGCTGGGAATTCCTTGAGTTGTTGGATAGCTGTTGGCTTCTGAAGAAAGACCTTGCTCCACAGTCAGTTATAAAAGAATTTGGTTTTAATAAGATTATAATTTTAATCCACTTTCATCACCAATGATATATATTCAGTTTACCAAACGAGCTGTCATTCTCTCAGACTACATGGCTTCGTATGATTGAACGATAGCGAATAATGAACTTGAAATATGTGGAAGGAAGCGATCTTAGCCTAGTTTTAGGTAGATTGCCGTTCTAGTATTCGCCTGCGCGGAAAGAGGAAAACCACGAAAACTTCAGTCAAGACAATTAGTACATAGGCCGAGATTCGATCAAGGAATTTCCCAGGTACAAGCCAGAAGCGTCAACTCTGGACCAACCTGTTCGGTGTTTCCTTTTTATTTGGCTAAACTAAACCTCTGAGGAGATAGGATGGGTTGGTATGGATTGGATTGATCTGACCAGTGGATAAGGAGCAATGGCTCCATGAGTGAGTGACAAATCTGAGGACCACACCTGGTGCGAAAGCCTTCTTCAATGTTTTGATTCCCTCTCCAGTGTATGCTTTTGTCCTTCAGTATCAAGCATGTGGTGTTGACTCGCATTATCACTGTCTCTTGTCTACGTATGCCAGGTTTCAACTCGCGAGGAGATCAGCGATCTGCTGTCGCTAGATGGGCACATAGATCTGGTCATCCCTCGTGGATCCACGGAGTTAGTGCGCTCAATTCAGGATCAAAGTCACCATATTCCCGTCATGGGTCACGCAGAGGGCATATGTCACGTGTATGTGGATAATGACGCAGACTTGGCCAAGGCCTTGAAAATAAGTAAGTTCCTGAGAAACTTGTCCCTAAGTACTTTGCAGGCATATATATGTACTTAATTAGAAGTTCAGTTAAGAATTAGTCGCCTATGAGAACACTATTCTGCGTGTCTGTCTATTTTTTAATGCCTGAACCAAACTTTATACAACTTCGGCCAATCTCAGCGGCGTACTTCATAAATCTTTCTAATCAGTCTTTGTGCCTCTATTTATATCCCCTTTATTGCTGTTAGGCAACGGATCTGTAAAAACATTATCGCTGCAACTAATATACAAGCAACAATAGAAGAACTGTAGGAAACGTCACCTTCTATGCGGTTCGTTTAGTATAAAACGAAAGTACGCGACTAGTGTTTTTCCCAGAATTTCTTATTCTCTGTTATTTGCCTTTCTTGGTGGCCTCTGTGCTCTAGTGGTAAGAGTTCCTGGTTACAGATCCAGAGGTCCCGGCTTCGATTCCCGGCGCTAGAGATTTTCTGAGAAGTAGTGGGTCTGGAACGAGGTCCACTCAGCCTCGTGAGGATAATTGAGAGCCACTTGAATGGAAAAGTAGCGGCTCCTCTCTAGAAAAGCAAGATTAGAGGCCGTAGGGATTCGTTGCGCTGACCACTCGACACCCTCGATCCGCAAAAGTTGGCACTAATTTCGCCGACAAGCGACGGTCGCTCGGTCGGTATAGTTCGCTTGCGGACTAAATCCATGGAGTGTGGATTTTCCTTTCTTATATATATCTACTTTCAACTTTCGTAAATTATCCTGCACATCTTTCAACCATCTCAATCTGGGCTTCCTCACTTTTCTTCCCCTTTCTGGATTATTTCGAAAATATTTCTTAAACATCCTTGTTCGATCCATCAAAAAATCTTTATACTTGCAACAGATTAACTTCCGAACCCATGATGAATTTAAATTCTTGAGGAACTCATGAATTTGATGCGCTTATTAGTCACAATTTAGGAAAGCATAATGAGTAATATTTACGACCTTGTTTTTCCCATAGTTCGCGACTCGAAGTGTGATTATCCGGCAGCCTGCAACGCCATGGAGACCCTGCTCCTACACGAGGACCTTGTGAAGAGCGGAGCGGCGTTCTTTACGGACGTATGCACCATGCTCAAGAGAGAAGGGGTGAGTATACCAACAGGGTTAAATCATATCAAATAATGGTCTCTAATCCCTATAGCTCCTGGGTTGAGTGTATTGGCGGCACCTTTTTGCCTCTACATACAGTAAACATTGTACAGTTTCTACCGAGGCACTACACTGTGTTCTTGTTGGTGGCAGGTGACCTTGTACTCGGGTCCCAAATTGGCAGAGCAACTGACATTTGGGCCGCCCCGCGCCAAGTCCCTCAAGACGGAGTACAGTGGCTTGGAGTGCACCATAGAAGTCGTGAGTGGCCTGGAGCAGGCCGTGAACCACATCCACACGTACGGAAGTGGCCACACCGATGTCATCGTGACGCAGAACGGTACCTTAGCTTTCGTTTCGGGTTCAGCAGGGTGTAAGCCAGTCCGGGCATTACCTCTCTTTAAGCTTAATACGAATTAACAAGGAGTTTTGGGAACAACTAATCGCCCACTTCCCCTTGACACAGCAAGTACCAGCAGTTCTTCTATTGCTCTGTTATTAGTTGCCGCGGTAACATTTTACCGAGTCACTGCATAGCAGCGATAAGGGATACACACAGACACACATACTGATGGGAGGGATTTGTCAAGTTAGCCGTTGAAATGGGCTCAGATACCATTATATGCATATCAAATTTCGTGAAGATGGGAACACAGACAGCATTACGATCGCATAAGCCTGTTTATTTTTTCGAAACACAGAAAATTGTCTAATACGAGGAGACTGGAAGCCGGACTATTTCAATCGGTATACAGAATAGACTACGGACTACATGAGGAGGGTTCGATTCCCAGCAGAGATCCGAGATTTTCTCTTCTCCGTGGGGTCCAGATGAGATCTGGGGGCCACACGCCCTCCTATACAATGGATACCGGGGCCTTTATCCCCGAATGTAAAGCGACAGGCACATCAAGCTGACCATTCACCTCTATCTAGTGCTGAGGTCAAGAATGGTGGAGCTGTACCTCCACACCGTTATGTCTTCATGGCAAAGCCCTTAATTACATAACTAAGTACAGAGATAAGTTTGATGATAGGACTGATGTAGCCGTAACGCTCTAAACTTATATTCGGCTCTCCTTAATGAGATTTTCGCAGTTTTCTTTAGTCCCTCCAACAATTCTAGGATACTAACTCGTTTATGCCACAATCGCTTCCTTCCTAAAGGCGGGTTTACACTGGGGCAACTTAAAGCAACCTAGTTACCCTCCTCGGGCGACTATATTTGCCGTTCACTTTATCAAGCAGCATGCGGCCAGGAGCAACCGTTGCCGCATGCGACCGAGCCCATTTACACCCACAGCGACTGGTTGCTTCAATTTTTACGTCAGCTTGTGTAGAGATGTCACTGCAGACAGTTGCTGCTGCGGCTTATCTCATTTTGAGGAGGAGAAGAAAACGTCAGAGATCCGCTCTTCTTCTTTCTATACCTGTGGAAGGTCGTTCTGAGATTCTCAACCTTTTCTTTCGCTTCCTTCAGCGAACATTCAAACTTCCTGGCTAATTCCTCCCATAACTTCAACTTCTTCCGATTGTCTTTATAATTGGGATCCCGCAAATCCCACAGAATGCTCTTTTCGCGGTACTCTTCGATAATACACTTGACTTTATCCGTGTCCCAACTCATCACGCCGCATGCGAGTAGGCAACCGAACCCACTAGCGGCCTGGAGCAACTAGAGGACGCGGGACGCAAGCCGCATGCGACTGCGCTACCCACTTCCTGCAAGTGAGCAACTTGCAGCATGCGGCGCGGTTGCCAATGGTTGCCTCAGTGTAAACCCGTCTTAACTGATAATTGTTCAATCACCTCACCATTCGACACTATATAGTCTAGCTACTCACTCCTATTTAAAATATCACGCAGATGAATAGAAGAAGGTGTATCATTTAGACCCTACCACATTTACTGGCACCCTAGAAACTATTGTCACGTGTTAGTGTGTGACTATCGACGGTTTTTGGATTATATATTGGATTTATTGATCACTTATACACACAAATCGTAACTACAAGTTATTACAGCTCCATCGCTATTCTCCATACTTTAGAAATCACCACAGCACCCGCTAAGTCTTCTCCAGCCTGCTGTGCCTTCATCAGCCGTTCCCTGATAACGGCTTCTAACGGTGGAAGTTCTTCAGCTTCCGTGTTCAAGTCCCCTCTGAACGGCGCCTCCCTTTCAACTGAACTCTTCTTGAGTCTGAGTCTGAGTCTTATGTCACGACCGACAGTCAGTCGGCTAGTCTATCTTGGAATAAAGCACCAATCTGGGGCTTATGACCAGATTTTTATTACTGTCAGACAGTTGTGGGTTCGTTGACGTGGGGCGCTCTCTCTGACAAGAGGTCGGTCTGTCGTTTGCAATTGCTGCTGCTCCTCGCCAGCGCAGTTATTCTAAGGCTCGAGTCCCGTGGAACTCTCGACCATACGAGTATTTTACGGTCTCAGATTTGAGACTTAACTTTTCGTCGCCTCCTACGACTCGCATGTATTCGACCCCCGCCTCCACACGGGATTGAACTATTCTTGCTTCAATTGTCCTACTTATAACACCTTTGCACGGGCCAAATAGAAAACACCGTTTCTAACAGCATCTCTACTGTTGCATGCGTGTCCGTTAAGGCGGGAGTGTTCACTAAGTCGTTGCCTATAAACGGCTCTACACGCTACACTGTGTATTGTCACTTATATGTTAATTCTTTTAAGAAATTCGCTTCCTTTCAAACGCTGATGTACTTGTCAACCACCTCCGGAAGCGAATAAGGAATTAGAGTAACTGCGGAAACGGCGGTGGCGAACTAATGTAAGGAAATATCCCAAATTTCCCTGGATGAACTGAGATAAACCACGAAGGAAACCTGCCAAAACGCAGGTGTCCCGACTTGGTGATTTTCTCTATATCACTTCTTTATATTTGCAGCCGTAAGGCACACCCGAGATTCCGTGTTTAATGTCATTCTATGCCTATGGTATTACTCGTAAGCCATACATGAGATTCTGAGCTTTTCAAGGCGGTTAAAATTTGAATTGTGATCTTATGGGTTATAACTTGTAGCTTCGTTATTGGCTATCGATGTTATGGAGGAATCTGCTCCCTCCATCTTCAGGAGAAATTTAATTCCTTTCAATTTTCTGAACAAGTTCCTTCCATACTAAGGTAAAGCAATTAACTTTCTATCATACTGTTTCTGTTCACAGAGCAAAAGGCATCGTATTTCCAAAATCAAGTAGACAGCGCATGCGTATTCGTTAATGCTAGCACAAGATTTGCTGACGGCTACAGGTTTGGTCTCGGTGAGTTTACAGTCTATCTATCTATCTATCTATCTATCTATCTATCTATCTACTTCCTTCCCTCCATACCTATCTACGTACCTGTTACTTCACTCATCGAAGTTTTCAGCTGAAATAAATATCAGACAACAGTGCTATATTCTTCCTCCCGAGTTGGATCTTGCTACGTAACATGCACAGAGGGCCAGGCAGCATTTAATATCGGATCAAAGTACTTACTGATTACTGATTTCGGGCGTTCATAGTGGCTAATTATCAATGTTAATTCTGTTTTTCGGTTGTTACACAATGTGTTTGTGACAACGTTGCCGATGTTTCGGAGGTGCATATTGCCTCCATCTTCGGGTCGCCCTGAAAATGGAGGTAGCATTCGCCTTCAAAACGTATGCTAGATCGCTCACAAGCACTCTGTGCAACGACGCAAGATTTGAATTAACAGTACGTGTATTTACTGCTTGTAGAAGGTGGGTTGATATCGAGTGACAATAAGCTTAGCTTCTGAGATCATGTTTAGTGTATTTTTCTTAAACTGCCCCTTATAACAGAGTCCTTCTAGAGAAGCCAATAGCCTCTCAGCCGGTAAAGAAATTCCTCGCCTTTTATGGAACCTGAAGTTTCATTACCAAGAACCCACCATCAGTCCCAGTGCCAAACCATATTAATCCAACTCACTCCGTCACGCCCCACTGAGATTTTCACGTCGCGAACAGATAATTACTGGAAAGTACTAGAGGCTGAGATGTGTCGCCGTCAGATCTTGTAGAAACTACCCTGAAAATACGTAATTTCCTCCGAAATTCCGGTAAACATCTACCAGAATGAACGGTATTTCTCTTCACAGTCACAATTCTAAAACATATTTCAGATAACTGCTTGGTGACCAAAATGACAAGTCATTCCGTCTATGAGACCCACCTGGCTTCCTATTTAATGGATACTGCAGCCTTTCCCGGGGGGGTGGAGGGGGGGAGACCACTCAAGTCCGTTTAGAACAAAAGTCTCATGAGAGGATCTTACCCTGACACTGTTCTCTGTACAGGTGCAGAAGTTGGTATCAGCACGTCTCGCATTCACGCCCGGGGCCCTATGGGTGTGGAAGGGCTGCTGACCACAAAGTGGGTACTGAAGGGCGACGGTCACGCCGCGGCAGACTTCGCAGAGGGTGGTTCCATGCATTTCACCCACGAGTCTCTCCCCATCAACTGAGGAACTCAGCACAGTCGATATCTTCACATAAATTATTTTTATTTCTTACAGTGCAAGGTGAAACATTCGTCGAAATCAATCATAAGCTTGAACTTATATGAAACCTCACGCGCAAACTTCTATTTAGGTAGATTTGTTTGAGGATCTCCAGTTTTGTTTAAGATTATTTTAACTCTTTCTTTGCTAGTTTCCAATTAAAGAAATCTCCTTCAGTTTTTATGTATCTTAACTAGGGCTGATCAAGTCAGAATGCTGTTCGTGGCGGCAAAAGATACATCCGCTGCCCCCAAACCTCTCAGTTAAAGACATCAAATTTTCAAAACCTTATCATGATGACCAATACGAAATTTCTAAACACTGTGGCGAAAACCGTCACTGGTGTAATTTTTTAAAATAGATTTATTTTATTATCGTATAACTTGCATGGATTAATACAAACTAATGGTCACAGTATAAAAACAAGAGAGAAGAAAATTATTTTACATTTAACGAAATGAAAAAAAAAAGCAAGAAAAAATCCAGGTAGGTCCTTGGAAGAACTAAACTGTCGCATCAGCGCAAATAATAAAATAAAATCTTTATTATTAAATTCCATGAAAATTTAGTTACAATTATTGACAGTTGGTAAGACACGTTTTATTTGCTACACTTATCGAATAAAAAAATAAATATAAATTCATGCTTCTGAGTGAGATATCTCTAGAAAATTTAGTGTTGTTCAGATGTCGAACATGATTACCAAATTAACTCTCTTATAGAGTGTTATCCAACAAACTTGCAAGGGAATAAAGATGAGTTTAGTGCATTTCTAAAACAGTGCCACCCAGTTACAAACAATATCTGCAAACAAGATTACTGCACCATAACCTAATATCTTCTCGCAACAGTTTGTGTTTACTAACATTCAGAAAGCTGACATACAGTTCAAAGATGTTTAGGATCCTTATTCCCTTCGTTTGTCTCTCCTGACCTCCTTTTACGTCTCACTGGTTCACTCAGGACAATTTCTCCCACTCTCTCTATACGCTTTGAAACTGGCTCATTCCTCCTCCGTTTTCCTTACTCCTATTGGTTCGCCAGGGACTCCATTCCGCCCCCATCTGCATCCATACCACCCCTCTCGGCGTACTCTTCTAGCCTGTAGCTTGGTAGATATTCACCAACATTTCGTAAGATCGTGTTACCTCCATCTTCAGAGTTGAAACTTGAAAAGTTAACACATCCCTCATAAGCATCTGTAAACATCTGGCAGACTGCAGAGTGCCGTAACCCAGAAGCCGATACTTTATACCCAGAGCTATGAAAATATCAAAAGTCACATCTTAACCTTCACGTACACTGGAGCATTGCTGTAAGTGTATCCGTATCTCGTGATCGAAATCACATCAAAACCTATTCAAAATCTTCTTGAATTAACACTAAAAATCAGAGCTGTCCAGCTTGCAGAATATTTTCACTCAGAATCCACGTGAAGTACCAACTAGGCAAGGGTGAAACCGCTCATAAAGTTCCAAAATCATTTCCCAGTAGTCAAATTCTGAAGTTCTCTGGTGCATCTAAATCTGAAGTGTGATTATGAACTGGCATTAGTGTTGGCACTGACGAATAAAATTACTCGTAGTTATAGGCACAAATTTGGCCGCGCCATAGCTCAAGCGGTTAGTCGCTGACTTCCCATCGCAACGGCCCCTGTTCGATCCCGGGGTCCGGTCAAGTGGGAGTTGTGGTAGACAAAGTGGCGCAGGTTTTCTCCGAGTATTTCGCTTTCCCCTGCCAATCTTCATTCCACCAAATACTCCATCATCATAATCACCCGAGACAGGCTACAATAGGCCAATCAGAGACCGCCGTGCCAAGCAGACACAGTTGGACTTCACCCCCCACTAAGCGAATTACAAAAAAATTATAGGCACAAATTTGTTTCTAGTGCAGAAAAACTTGAGTATATTGATCTTGGTCCGATACCAAATGCTCTACACAGCCGTTTGTAAGACTGACGTTCATTGTCTAGTGACAATAGGGTCTCTCAGCGGTTGCCCACACTGTTAACTCCTGTTCAAGGCAAATGATTTGCCCGCAGTGCAACAGTTACAGGCCTAACACGTAACTAAAAGTTTCCTAAAGAGAACTGTTAATTCCCTCGTGCGAAAGGGCCCAGAAAACTTGTTACACTAACTTATATAGAAACTATTTTCAGTCTAACCGACTAGCTAAATAATCAACTTCATAGACCACAATAATTCTTGAGAGGCTAAAAGTTGCTCTACCAATCAAGAAATTCCCCAGTAGTATGGAACGTAATAATTCAATATGGTGTTCACATTAGTCTCTATCCTGAGGTAAAGTAATACAATCCATATCCAGCGTTCCTCCTTCCTTAAGATCCACTTTATATTATCATTCCATCTACGGCGAGGTTTTGCAAATGGTCTCTTTCCTTTGAGATAACTTAATGTATATATCTCTTCTGTCCTTACTGCATGACCCACCAATTTAATTATCGTTAATCTGATCATTCTAACAACATTTGGCGTGGAATACATATCATTAAGCACAACTTTGTGTAATTTTTACCAGTCTCCTCTTACGTCCTCCATCTTGTGTTCAAAACGTCCTGACAAGCATCCTCTTATAAACACCCTCAGCCTATGTTCATTACTTCATGTGATTGACTGACCAAGTTTCAAGCCCGTAGTAACGGCAGACCGTCTGTAGTAACATCTTACGGTTTCATAATATACTTATAAAAAACGTGAAGTCAAAGCTTTCAGAAGTTAGAGGCATCAAGATTTGCAGTCTTACGGAAAGTAAGAACACTGTTTCGGAGTTCTTATATTAAAACACTGGTAATATTACGGAAAGGACGTATTCTATGTGTTACTATAGTTTTACTGCAAGACATATATATATATATATATGTGTGTGTGTGATAATCAATACCACTGATCATATATATAGCTGATCACAGTGGCCGCGCGGTCTAGCGCATGAACTTTCTTCGCTCACTTCAACGCTGGTATCGTGGACTCGAATCCCACTCAAGGCATGGATATCTGTCTGCGTTGTTTCTGTGTTTATGTTGTTCTATATGTAGGTAGCGGCCTTGCGACGGGCTGATCCCCCGTACAAGGAGTCCTACCGACTCTGTATAGGATTAAGAAATTGAAAAATCAGCCAAGGTCCAACAAAAGGACTGCAGAACCTTAGACATATCAAATATAAAGCGGTATTCTCCAAAAAAGACAAAGGAGCCAGAATCAGGACTTGGTGTCTGACTTAGGAAAACTTATAAACTACTCGGTTACGAGTTCCGGGTTGGGAACTGAATGAGGGACCTTCCGAATAGGAAGCAATAATGCTACTTGCACGACAGTCGTTTACTCGTATTATGTTTATTTGTAATTAGTTGAAAATGCATTGGCGTTACAAGTGTGACATGTAAATCGCAGTCACAACTTAACGCTAAGTTTAATGATGTGGTAGTGTAAGCTTGTACGTGTATCTTCACGTCTGTGACAATTCTTGCGTTCTGAGTTAATGCCAAGTCTTGAACAGGGATGTCCAATTACCTGTAATTATCATATGCTAATCCCATTCAGGGCATGGATGTCTGGCTGTGAGTTTATTCTGTATTTGCGTTGTCTTGTGTGTAGGTAGCGGCCTTGCGACCGGCTGATCACTCATCCAAGGAGTCTTTCCGTCTGTTTAAAAAAGAGTAAGAAACTGAAGAAGAGGCCAGGGCCTAACAAAGGGCTATAGAGCCATTTATGAATAATGAATGAATGAATGAATCATACGTGATAGGACAATAAAGTTCGCGAACTCTTCGCGGTAGAAGTGCTATATATCTCATTGCTAAATATCGCTGTGGTTGCCTTCAAAGTACTCCCCTTAGGAAGCTATGCACCGAAGCCAGTTCCTAGTCCACCTTTCAAAACAATTTTGGAACTGGTTTTGTGAAATTGTCCTCAGAGCTGCCGTCGTATTACTCCTGAAGTAATCAGTATCATTAGAATGCCTTCCTTTCAATGTTTCCTTTATTTTCGGGAAATATGGAGGGTGTTCCAGCACAGTTATTTGTTTACTAGCTAAAAACTCCCTCACGGACAGTGCTCTATTTCAAGCTCCGACATTCTCGTGAAGGCACACCATAACACACTCAGACAATAATAACCACTCAGAAGCAGACTGCCATAGATCAACAACAACACAGCTGTGAAATGCTGATATACCAACGTCATCAAACCCTGCTCGGGTTTCTGTCCACTGCTGCCACGGCAAGCACACCATGGTGAGTTCGCGAACTTTATTGTCTTACCTCGCATTCTTATATAATTCATATAACTTTGAATAAAACATTGCTTCACATAAAACCGACATCTCGAAAAGACACAAAGTAATCTCTAAGTTCGCTATATACTCGTCAGGCTTATAAAGCACAGTTTCTTAGCTTGAGAATGCACGCTGTTATCGAGGGCGATTGTCATTCCTGCTTGATATTCTGGAGGTCCTGAATCCGAAATACCGTCTCATGCTGAAGTACAGGGCGATGCCTTAAAACAAGGTACGACCGCCTGCTTCCATGTCCCCTAAAAGGTAAAGTTGTCCCTGTGCTTAATTAGATAACGTAGATATGGATGTGATGCTTGGTCTCTCAAGTTAAAAACGCAGAAAGGGTTTCTGGGATCTGGGTGTTTAGGAGAATATTTGGACATGAGAGGGGGGAAGTGAAAAGTATACGGTAAAACTGCATAAAGAGGAGTTCTATAATTCGTAATGCTCAGCATGTATTATTAGGACGATCCAATCAAAAAAGGTACAAAAAAAGAAGGTAAATTTGTTCCTGTGCTTAACTAACTAAGCAACAAGCAATGAAGGCGGAGGGGGGAGTGAATGTATAGATCCACATTTTCTTCGTCTCGACACTAGTTGGAAGTAAGTGGTCAGCTTCACGCCCCAGCCGCTTTACCCCTTGTACTCACTGGACAGGAGACTGGGTGGCCCCCAGATCTGGTCTGGAAGACATAGAGACGTGAAAATTCTTGACCCTACCGGTACTCGAACTCCGATCTCTAGGTCGTCTAGCCCGTAGCCAGTCACTTTACCGTCTGCGCGATTCCGGCTCTCGATCAAATTAAACAGGATGATATTGGGCGGGGCATGTAGAACGCATGAGAGAGGAGAGAAATGCATACAAAATTTGAATCTGAAAATGTTAAGGGAAGATATTACTTGAAAGAGACAGGAGTAGATGAAAAGGTAATATTAAAATGGATGCTAAAGAAATAGTGTGGGAGAGTGTGGTCTGGATTCAGTTGGCACAGTATAGGGACCAGTGGAAAAATCTATTGACAACACGGTACTGAAAAGTCGAGCTCTATATAATGTTTAAGAATTTCTTGACTAGCTGAGTAACTACTAGGTCGCGTAAAACTCTTCTCCATATGGAGTGTAACATTGGACCGCATACAAGATTTTAACACCCCTAGAAACGCAAACAGGAAGTTGAAAGGCGGCAGATTTAGCAGAACAGTGTTAACCACGAGTGTGACAGTATCTTACACAGCTTCCCCTTTCAATTTAATTTGTATTAATCAGAGATTCTGCAGAGCCATGCAATTACAACATCAACCCACAATATTGCTGTGCTGAATGTCAACTAGGCGCCAGAGTGTACTGCCCTCATCGCGTCTCCGCCTTCAGCAACAAACGTTGACAACTCATGAGGGCTATTCGGACGCGCGTTTCCGGCTGCCGTCTCTGTCTTACGAGAGATAAGACTACTTGTGTCATCGCATCCGTCTGCCCGTTGCC